AGTGGTGGCACCCCAACCCCCTGATCGGCACTGCTCTGTGGGTGATAGAGGGTGGCACCCCAACCCCCCTCCACGGGCCTTGCTCTGTGTGTGACAGGGTAGAGCCATAACCTCTCCATTGGCCCTGCCCTGAGTGTGACAGGGTGGTGCACCCCAACCCCCTGATCTGCCCTGCTCGTGGTGTTAGTGGTCGGTGCCCCCAAACTCCCCCTATCGGCCCCTACTCTGTGAGTGACAGGGGGGGAGCTCCCCCAATCCCCTGATTTGCCCTGTGGCTCTGTGTGTGAACAGGGGTGCGGGCGCCCCAACCCCCTGATCGACCCTGCTCTGTGTGTGACAGGGGTGCGGCGCACCAACCCCCTGATCGGCCTTGCTTTGTGTGTGACAGGGGTGCGGGCGCCCCAACCCCCCTCCCCCCCCACGGGCCCTGCTCTGTGTGTGACGAGGGAGAGCCATAACCTCCCCATTGGCCCTGCCCTGAGTGTGACAGAAGGCGGTGTCCCAACTCCCCTATCGGCCCTACTCTGTGAGTCACAGGGGGAAGCTCCTCAACCCCCTCATGGGCCCTGCTCTGTGCGTGACAGGGGAGAGCTCCCCAACCCCCTGATCGACCCTGCTCTGTGTGTGACAGGGTACGGAGACCCTACCCCCCTGATGGGCCCTGCTCTGTGAGTGACAGGGTGCAGCACCCCAACCCCCTGATGGGCTCTGCTCTGTGAGTGACAGGGGGCAGCACCCAACCCCCTGATTGGCCCTGCTCTATGCGTGACAGGGGGTGGTGCCGCAACCTCCCCATCGACCCTGCCTTGAGTGTGACAGGGGGCGGTGCCCCAACCCCCCAATCGGCCCTACACTGAGCATGACTGAGGGTGGCATCACAACCTCCCGATCCGCCCTGCTCTGTGCATGACAGGGGGCGGCGCCCCAACTCCCCAATCGGCCCTGCTCTGAGCCCGACCAGGGACTGCATCTAGGGATTGGGCATGTCCTCTGCCACCCGGGAGCAGGCCTAAGCCAGCAGGTCGTTATCTCCCGAGGGGTCCCAGACTGAGAGAGGGCACAGGCCGGGCTGAGGGAACCCCGCCTTCCCCCCCCGAGTGCACAAATTTTTGTGCACTGGGCCTCTAGTATATATATATTTATATATAATTTTGTTTGTTTGTTTGTTTTGTTTTGTTTTAATCCTCACCCAAGTATATTTTTCCATTGACTTTTTAGAGAGAGTGGAAGAGAAAGGGAAAGACAGAGAGAAACATCAGTGTGAGAGACACACATCGATTGGTTGCCTCTTGCACATGCCCTGACCAGGGCCTGGGCCAGGGAGGAGCCTGCAACCTAGGTACCCCCTTGACTAGAATTGAACCCAGGACCTTTCAGTCCACAGGCTGACACTCTATCCACCGAGCCAAACCGGCTAGGGCAGGGGTGGGCAAACTTTTTGACTCGAGGGCCACAATGGGTTCTTAAACTGGACCGGAGGGCCGGAACAAAAGCATGGATGGAGTGTTTGTGTGAACTAATATAAATTTAAAGTAAACATCATTACATAAAAGGGTACGGTCTTTTTTTTTTTTTAGTTTTATTCATTTCAAATGGGCCGGATCCGGCCCGCGGGTTGTAGTTTGCCCACGGCTGGGCTAGGGCAATAAAAATATGTTTTTTAAAATAAATAAATAAATAAAACAGAAGTCAGCAGAGACTGGAAGTACTCTCCTGGTTGCCTAGGGCTGGTGGGTTGTGGGAATCAGGGCATGGCTTTTAATATGTGTTTGGAGCTTCTTTTTGGTGAGCTATGAAAACGTTCTGAAACTGTGGAGATGGATGCACAACCTTAAATATACTCAGTGTACACTTTGAATGGGTGTTTGATGGTTCATGAATTATATCAATTAAAAGTCAATATTTGGAGAAATCTCAGAAAGGGGTATGTGGGAAGTCTCTGTACTATTCTTGCAACTTTTCTCTCAGTATGACATTATTCCAGATTAAAAGTTAAATGAAAAGGCCAGGAGTGGGGGAAGGAATGGCATCTGTCGTGGAGAGGAGGGGTGACTCAGAGCACAGAGTCAGGGGGGAGGAGTGCATGTGGGGAGATCAGTGGGAGGAGCTGGGGAGGGGGAGCAGGAGAGGGAACCAGAGATCTGTGGGTAGTGGTCAAGGCCCTGGTGGAGGTCCGGTGCCAGATTTATGTTAAATTACTGCAGAGGCTGGAGTGGGGATGGTCTGCCTGAGACCATCAGGTTTACCAGAAGTCATGGCCACGTGCAGAGTTGGTTTATTTCTTTCCACATAGAAGGTCGGTTATATAGACAATTTGAAATGGTGGCTTTCTCTTTCTTTTGTTTATATTTTTAGGATTCGCTTTATGCTGGAAATGATGTTGGTCCTGAAGAGCGATGACATGCAGAGGATTCTGGGCTTTGACCCTGAGCCTGTAGAGAAACTGAGGAAATTGCAAAGAGCTTTGGTGAGTCACTTTTACTCCTAAGTGCTTTGAGTTCCCTGTGGGGGTGAACCCACCGTGGAAGTCTGGGAGGTAGTTGGAGCTGTGAGTCAGGTGCCCAGCCTGGTCAGCAAGAGTTCCGAGGGATTGAATGGCGACTGCGTTTCTGTGGTGAGACCCTGTGAGTGGCCCTGTGAGTGTGCAGCGGAGTCCCTGTGAGTTAAGCATCCCCCACACTTAGCCTGTGGTGCTGGACTCGGCTGTGCAGCAGAATCATCAGAGAACCTTGTGATCACTTTGGAAGAGGCTCCCATCAGGACCAGAGGCGTTAGCCTAGGAGGAGAGGGGGCTTGCCTGCTTAACCTCCACAAGTTTTTTATGTGGGGCCACAGCTGAGACCCACTGCCCTGTCCAGTCAGGGCGAGTACTCTGTAACTTCCTTTTTTATTTTTTAATAAAATCATTATACATATATATATATATATATACACACACACACACACACACACACACACACACACATATATATATATAAAAGATATTATATATATTATATATGTGATATATAATATATATATATAATACATATATATATAAATTTAATTATTTATCTGTTTGTTTTTCAACATCATTTTTTTTTAAATCCTCATTCGAGGGTATTTTCCATTGAATTTTAGAGAGAGTGGAAGAGAGAGGGAAAGATAGAGAGAAATATTGATGTGAGAGAAACATCGATTGGTTGCCTCCTGCACTCGCCCTGGAGCCTGTCACCGAGGTATGTGTCCTTGACCGGAATCGAACACAGAACCCTTCAGTCTACAGCAGCGGTTCTCAACCTGTGGGTCTCGACCCCTTTGGCGGTCGAACGACCTTTTCACAGGGGTCGCCTAAGACCATCCTGCATATCAGATATTTACATCACGATTCATAACAGTAGCAACATTACAGTTGTGAAGTAGCAACGAAAATAATTTTATGGTTGGGTCACAACATGAGGAACTGTATTTCAAGGGCCAGAAGGTTGAGAACCACTGGTCTACAGGATGATGCTCTGTCCACTGAGCCAAACCGGGTAGGGCTTTAATATATATTTTTATTGGTTTCAGAGAGGAAGGGAGAAGGGGGAGAGAGAGAGAGAGAAACATCAATAAGAGAATCATTGATTGGCTGCCTCCTGCATACTCCACACTGGGATTAAGCCCACAACTGGGGCATGTGCCCTGACCTGGAATCAAACCATGACCACCTGGCTCATAGGTTGACGCTCAACCACTGAGCCAGGCCAACTAGGTTCAGGTGCCAGTAAAAATGCTTGTATAAATAAAAAAAAATGTATTGCTGGTTTAGTTCTCTTCAAGGCATTCTTTGAAACTATTCAGAAATTTGGTAAGAATTTAGAAGTTAAAATTTGAAAATTACCTTCTAATATCTAATGGAACCCATTATTTCTTTAAGTCCTATCCTAGGGATATGCTTATTGATTTGAGAGAGAGAGAATCGTTGATGTTAGAGAAAAGCATCAGTTGGTTGCCTCTCATATGCACCTCCACTGGGGGCTGAACGCCCAACCTAGGTATGTGCCCTGACTGGGAATTGAACTCACAGCCTTTCCATGTACACAGTGATGACCAAACCAACTGAGCCACCCCAGGCTGGTCATGGAACCATTTTTTAGGAAAGAAAACCTTATATTACTCCTAGATTTCTGCATATCCAAGGTCCAGAATACAGCTAAGTCAATGGGACTTCATGGAACACCTTGATGACTTTGAGTGGGTTAAATGAGATATAATGTATGCAACATGCTCATCTCTGTGCCAGGTGGGCACTCACTCTTTTGTAGTTTCAGTCGGCCTCATCCTGTTTTCTGTGTCATTGTTATGTATTTTCCTTAAAATAGCTCTGGGTTCATAAATTTTGCATCATTTCTCTGAAATGTTGGCCCTAAAAATTGGGAGCAGAGAGTTTAAAACTTTAGCTTCCACTTAATATCTCATTGGCATAAGCTCATAAATTCAACCATTATTGAAATCTTGATTTGCATAATGATGATAAAAGAAGTAATTTTCAATATATCAAGATTCTTTTTTTTAAAAATCCTACTGGAGATATTTTCCCATTGATAGAGCGTCGAGCCTGCGGACTGAGGTCCCAGGTTCGAGTCTGGTCAAGGGCATGTACTTGATTGCGGGACATGTCCGGTGCAGGAGTGCGGAGCAGTGGACGGAGGTTCTCTCTCACGATGTTCTGGTTCTGTAT